TGTTTTTATGCAGAAGAATCGAGTTGACTAGTACGCAATCTAATTAAACAAATTTGTTTTAATGTAATTTTTATTAAAGCTGAACACACAAGACTATGCTGAATATAACTCCAAACTAATTTATCCACGATTTAACAAAGCTGCATTTGAAAATTTCATTTAAGAGTACCACATTTTGATGTTTTTGTACAAAAAGACAGTTTAAATACTATTATTCTCACTTAACTCATTCTGATGTGCAAAACGAATTTAAGTATATTTTACAAAATCACAGATGTGCTAAATAAGGAGGTTGTGTATATTTAAGGGACTTCAAAATGGCCTTATTTATGTGATGTCATTAGAAATATGATAAGCTCATTCCCGTGTTTCCAGTCAACAGCTCATAAATTCACGTGATGCCATAGTCATACAATCATGTATTTCCAGTCAATCAATTCTATCGTCTCACTGTTGCCAACTTTTGATTTTTTCAGAAACTTTCTTTTAAGAAGTAAAATTAGATAATAATAAGTATACAAAATGCAGATGACTTTAAAAACTCGAAAAATAATTTTTCTTTAAAGAACTTTTTGAAGAATATTAATAGTTGGACATGTTTATCAAACTACCGAATTTGTAACTGTTTCTGGATTTTAAAAAGAACACGGTCAAGTTTAAGGTCAACTTTGAGCTTATGAAAAAGGTAACTTATGAACTAAGGTAATGAAAAACACGTGATTACATTTTTCATGTGATCCATTCGAGATATCCACAGTTTTGAGGCTTTTAAGAATTCTTTGAATTTCATCTGTTCTTTTCAATATTTGAATAAAGCCCCACTCATAGTATTTGAATAAGAAGTGAAAAATGATTCTTAAAATATTTTTGCACCGTATATACTTATTCTACAACTTATCATTTAATAAATTATAGTTTAAAAAAAAACTAAAATGGCATCCTTTTATAGTTAATTGAACGAAGTTGTAATTTAATCTTTTAGTCGCCAAATCTGGAAATGGGATCTGAAATTAGTCGCCAGATTCGAGATGAGATCTGAAAATGGGAAATCGTTAATCCTAATGATCCTGATCAGGACAATGAAATAAAATTATTAAATTCTAGCATTGTCATCGGTTCTGGAAAAGTTAGCAAAATTCCGAATTAATCCGACTTTTTGAAGTGGGTAAAAATTTTGAGTTCAAAGATTCCGTTACATGTAAGTGAAGCTTATAAAAGGCTATTAAAATGGATCATAAACTATAAAAATATTGATAAAATTGCAAGTTATTTCATGGGGAACAACACGGCCACATAAAGAGAATTGCAACACAATTAAAATGCAGATATATATGTAATGTTTTCTGAAGCTAACAAATGTTAGCCTTCAAGTAAAGTTATTAGTAGTACTAAGGAACCCACGTTCATTTTTAAATTGATCTGTTAAATAAAGGGGGGATGTGAACCGATAAAAATGAAAGTTCTGCAATCTATGATTTCCCAATAGTATAAACCAAGAAGGCTTTATTTGAAATATTAAGTTATCTGATTCTTCATCCCTGAGTCAAATGAACAGTTAAATGCATAATACGACTTAAAAATCCTCTAAAAGGAATGAAAATCTATATTTAATTGTAGTTGAACTGATTTGGAGGACTATAAGATTTTTTTTTTTTTACTTTCCATGCAGAAGATTTTTTTAAAGTTATTTACGATATTTAAAATTTTTTTTTTATGAACAACTGTATTCTGCGGATTATATGGTTCAGGAAAATTCAGGCTAATAGAAGTTTGTTGATGAGTTTAACAAAAAAATTTTAGTGGTAGGACTGGTCAGTTATTAGCCACGTGTTGATTGGTCGGTTATTGAATTGATCCAGATGGTGAAGCCGATATTGAAACTATTATGTAAAATTTTCAAAACTTCTGTTCTATGCAAGAAGGGGCTCGTATTTCTGTGTTTTCTTGCTTGTTTGTTTTATATCAACATTGCATGCAGCCCACAATAGTTGAATTGCCACCGTCGCAAGTTCGTGGCTCGTTGTATGTGTCAAATCGTGGGCGCAACTCCAGATGTAACTTAAGACCTGATATGAAGGAGGATTGAAGCGTATTAAAATTTATGGTCTCAAAGTTCTCATATGCTATGGAAGTTTGGAGAGTGAGGAACCATCTCAAATATCGTCTTTGTCTCTTGACCATGGTTAAAAAACGGGAAGTATGTTGACATTAATATACAACCAATTAGATATGCGTCACATTGTAATGTTATAATTGGTTATTAATAATCACATTCTTAATTTCGGGACACACAATATATTATACTTAAAATGACATTTAAGTGGGTATTTCAAATTCCTAATTTCCCCACGAGAGGTTTATATCTTAGTGACGTTCATATTCTTCATTTAAATTGTTACATAAAGTATGGTTTTATTCAAGATTTTCAGTTTTAATTCATTTAAGTAATTCCATGTTTGTTTCAAGATGCTGGTTAATGAAATTATGATATGAAATTAATTCAGTTGCCCTTTTCTGTTTTGCATTTAAGTCAGCAGTAGTGGAAAGAAGACAACAAAATAAACAAAGAAGACTAGGAGAGATAAGTTGATTTTATTCTATGAACAGGATATATCAAATATATTTCCTTGTTAAGTAGTGGATGCAAATTTGAATGGGAATACGTTGTGAATCTGGAGGCACCACTTTTATTGAGCTAACTATACTTTTCAAACCCAAAACTATGTTTTACATATCTATAAGATGAGGAGTTTCGTTATAGTTAACCTGAATAAAAATTACTATTTAGATCTTAGTTTACAACGTGAGTGCTTGGCTATTCAAATTCTGGTTACATTGTAGCTAATGAAAGAGTTGAACCTTAAAACTTGAATAGGAAACGTGCAACCTTACAATTAAACATCTGCAGTACTAAACAGTTAACAACTTCAGTTATTCAGATGAGTTGGCACAGTAAGTGCTGTCTCAATAAATATAATGAATAAATAACCGAGTGGGGAACAATATAGATTTTTACCAACCATCTTATGGAAGACAACAAAAGCAAATTAAATCAGAGGGAGTTTCAAGAGATCCACTTCAAATCTTTCGGAAAATTTGAATAAAAGTCCTCGTTTCAAGTACTACCATTGTTATCTGAATAAATGCTGAAATTGTGAAAATTGTGACCCAAATTGATGTTCGAGAAAGATACGTAGAAGCTTCAAAAGCTTAGAATTGATTTATTATTTAACAGCATCGCACTATTAAGTAATACCATGAGTATTGGCAAAGAACCTCGTAATCTTGAGCCACGATCAAGAAATAAGTGAGTAAGGGAGTGTTTATTAACGTCGCACTAGGAAGCACCACGAGGGCTATTGGCGACAGACTTCGTAATTTTGAATCCCGGTCAAATGATGAGGATGAAATCTGATTGGGTACCCTCTCCGAACTTTCAAACCCACCTATAAAAGAACATTGAGTCTTGACAGATTGTTGTTGTTTTTTCTATCCAACCCCCCTGCTTGGCTTCTTGCCCCTTTGACGATGAGCCTCCCAGTACCGACTGACGATGTCGTCATTCAAGTATTCATCGAGTTCAGCGCATTGGAACAGGTGGTTGCCATCCATTCTGACATGGCCACAGAGTGGACATGCCCCATCAGCAGCCAGGCCAAGCCATTGGAAGTATACTCCCAAAATGTCATGTCCGGTGGTTAGGCGAAAGTGGACAACAGCCTCGGCTTCCTCCAGGTGCATGGGGATTGGACCCACAATATCCAGAGTTTCCCATAGCTTCCCAAGGCTCAAGGTTTTTTGGGTCACGGTATTATATTTGTCAATGAATGTGGAAATAATGCTCTTTGCTCTTCTGAGAGTCAAGAAATTTTCCGGTTGAGACGACCTGCCTAGCTTTTTGGTCGGCTTTCTCATTGCCAGGGATACCCACAAGACTTGGGACCCACTGTAAGGCTGCAGTCCAGGCATATGAGATTAGCTCCACAATTTTAGTTCGGCACTGAATTGTGCTAAGGCAGTCAGTTGGTGTATTTGTATTGTTGTTGTGACAAATGTTACCTGATCGGCAGTGCCAGATCGAGGCCCCCGAAATTCATCATCGCAAAGGTCTAGTTGTACGCCTGTTGTTAGCCGTAGCTTTGAGCGCTATGCAGGTTAATGTATGATTTGGCTCGTTTCCACTTAAATTTTGAGGGGCCTTCCACCAACCTCATGAAGGAACTTGCGGCTCGACGGTTACTTAGAATATCCCCATGCCGCGAAGGCATTATACATTCACAAACATGCATGCCTTCTCCGAGATTCGAACAAATGTTCTACGGCACAGAAGTCGGTCTCGCTGACCAATATACTGGATGAGCGGTTTGACATATTTAAAGAGCATCATCCTCTCTACCTGGTGGGTTTTCAATAGCACTAAGACTAGAGCTCAAGGCACGCGTGCGCGGGGGAGGGAGCGAGTTCGTTACCTTGATCACTAAGCTACCGTAGTCACTGTTCAAAAAACAAAAAGGCTTTAATTTTATTGTTAGTTAATCTCATGCTTTTGATGCTACGTGAGAGATACTGGCAACGGACTTCATAATAATCAAGAGATGGGCCGCGGTTTTTCAAATTTTCACCCCTCCCCAATCAAAGAATAATAAAGGGGACGCAAAGAAACGTTTCCTAAAAAAATGTCTGTAAAAAACAACTTACAACAAATAATATTAAAAAAAAAAAGAATTTTAAGTCAATTCCTACTTAGGTCAATAAAGAAAATTTTATATTTGTTACTTTTCATTCAATAATTACAATGTATGTATATACATATGACACACACAGAAACACAATATTAAGTTGCGAAAAAAGAAAGCGATTTTCCATGCAATTTTCCAGTTTCCTTTCTATATATGGTGTTGGACTATTATTTTTGTTTGTAACTATTTATTCATCAATTAAATTCAATTATTCCAAGAAAATAGCATAGTAAAAAGAAATCGCATTCTCAGAAAATAGGCTATCCCAGGTGGGTTTCAAACCCACAACACCTTTGGATTAGAAGTTCAACGTGCTACCCATTGAACTACAGGGAC